ACAGCACGTAACGACGGTTATGCCATGAATCCTTGTTTGTCTGTCCAATACTGAGCTAACATCTCTACAAACACGAATCAGACTGTCATGACAACCACATTCAAACTTTTTCTTTACTCTTCCCACTCTCACTCTGTATGTTTTTTTTGGAGTATTTTATATTGGCATTTTTTATTGGACTGAACAGTCGTGTTTAATGGAGACCAATGAATCAATAAAAGACATGGTATTTGTGCGACTCATTTTTAAAGCATCCCAGATTGGCAGCAAACACACAATGGATTCCAACTTCAGGAGCTCTTAGTGTGCATGAATTGGTGTGTATCTCACAACAAGTGTTAGAAATACACTTGTAGAGGCAGTCTCAATCGTTTTTGGATATATTGCAAATGAAAGACAGCATACGCATATTAGCAGTTGAGTGCATACACAAAGATGCACCTTTAGTTCTGAATGTCAACAGCTCTAACTGTGAGTAATTCATACATCTGCATTGCAAACACATCTCAGATCAACCCATCATATCTGACCCAAAACCAGATACCCACAAAGCAGTGATTGAATAGGCATATGAAATCACGTACCATAATTAATTGAAAGTTCTTGCTGCATGTCTTAATGTTTTGTTAAATACATGATGGTCAGTAGGTAAATCAAATATCCTCAGTCAGCTGCACAGAATCAAACCTCCTGAATTTCATTTTCACCTACACCCCCCAACAGGGTCTTACGTCACTGTTTTTCAAAAAGCAGTTTTTTTGTGGGCCATAGAAAAATGACACCTATACTGTGAGAAAAGATGTTCTCTCACCTCATGCTGATAAAATAGGACACTGTGTCTGCTCTCAGCTGCCTGTCATCTAAACCACATGGCATCAATACTAACCTTGAGCTTTTGTGTGAAACCAATTAACGAAGAGATCAACATCTACTCTCAAAAGATCAGTGGCAAAATTGATTTATCAGAATGGTCCGAATTATAATTTCCTCAAATTCTTGTAATTGATAAACAACAAATGCTTTTCTAAGTAATAAATTGCTAACATTAATTAAAGAAGGTTAGCTAATTATTATTTTGTACAATCTCCACATGTATTGCTCTCAGTAAGTGGTCTCTCTTTAACTAATCAGGTCATATAAAGAAGGATGTGAAATTAAGGAGAAACGTACTATGCATAAGCCCCAATGATTCCTTATTTTCTTCCTTGCTGCAGTTTGAATAAGGGAACACGATGTTGACAGAGAAATTCCAACTAATCTTTGTTTTTTATTAAACCATTACAATTCTGTACTGAGCTCTGTATGCTGTAAATCGTATCTTGTTAGCTCACCTTGCCCTTCCATCTGCAGGAAACAGTGTTTGCTGAGTGGGAGCCAGGACACAGTGTGGTTTAACATACTGTAGGTCAGAGTTCAAACAGACATGATTGATTGCCTGCAAAACCATAACGATTTCTGCAAAAACACACGAGTAAGGAAGGGATGGTTGTGTACCTAAAACTGTATGAGAGTCTTAGTGTGATTATTCATGTTAGGTATTTTGATATCATTTACTTTAAATGAAATGGAAGACAGATAGTCAACAGTAATCCCCCTTATTGTTATTACAAATGCAATATCTACACATCTGCAGTTTAATTTTCCCTATATGGTCAATGAATAGTAACAGTTTAAAAAGCTTATACGTAGAATAATCTTTTAATTTAAAAGTAACGCCTTTGCAGGCAACATTCGCTTACATTTTGAGAATTATTTTTAATTAGTTCTCTTGTGAATTTGCAACGCCTCTCATCTGCCAGTCAAATGGCTCTAAGCAATAAGTTTGCACTGCACTCAAGGATGCCTTAAAGTGTTGGAAATCCAACAATATTCACTTCTTAAATCAAAAAAGGCTGTAACTTTACTTGCTTCATTTATCACAACCTGAACCTAAATAAACCAACCTAAATATTTCTGTTATTGAAAGGTAATGTTTACAAAAATGTGCTTTGTCGTCAAGAGGAAAAAATTCCCAAAAATGTTTCAATATGTTGCAAGTAAATATATATGTCAATATATTTCAATATAGTGCATCCCAGTACCACGGAGCCATGTTTAGTTTAATACCTGATGCTAATATATTGTGCCTGTAAGAAAATGTCACATTAACATCCCAGATTGGATTGATTGAGAAATGTTGTGTTGTAATACTGTAAAAGAAAACAACACCCCTTCTTTAATGCACAGTCCCGACACCCCTTGCAGTGTAAAGCTGCTCGCAAACAGTAAACATGACTTGCTGTGAGAAACCTTAGGAAGATAAGAGACCACTGGCTCTTGCAGCAATCTCTTGGGATGTCCAAGCACAGATTCAGAATACCAATGATATTGTTGTCAGTGCCAACATATACAGTGTTGTCAGGGTAAAACCTCCCCTACCGATGGAGCCTCAGTGATAAAGCCACAGTACATTCACCCATTACTCCAAATTGTTGGCTGAGAAGAAAGTGGCCAGCTAATCTTTAATGTGAGTTGGTAAGTGGAATTCCTGGAAAAAGCTCTGGTGAAGATACAGCGCTTGTGCATTAAGATAATTATGTGTATTGAACATACTTTGAGTGATTTTCCTATATTAGACCCATTTTCTATTCACACAGACTGACTCATTCACACTTATGTTGATGACATCACTCACACACGCAAGATGGACATTGTTTTCTTTCTACTCATTTATGAAATGCATCATAAATCACACATTGGAGACAAATTTCACACTTGCAGCTATTTTCTGATTTCTTCCAAACATTAGTAATCAAAAATGCAGATTTATCAAGCTGAGGGCCATCATGGATTCAACAGTTTTACATGTTTTTCATACCAAGTGTTATATCTCCACATGCCTGTTTGAAAGTGTCAAATGAGAGGTCTGCATCACAGTTCCCCGCTGAGACAAACCCTGCCAATTTATGAGTTTTTCACTCGGATTGAAGCATTTTAGCTTGTTAACACAGGTGTTTCACCACTGTGCTGAAGATTTCTAGTCTAGTAATTGATTATGGTCACTTCTCAAGCACATAGGAAATGTCAATTCATGGCTAGATGGATAGATGGATAGATGGAGTATGCTATGAGTGTAAAACAAAAAGCTTGAAGTGCCTTAACAATCTGTTCCTATGGGAAGGTTTCTGTGACGGTGGGCTTGCTGTAGGACGGTGGGAGATTAGTCAATACTCCATGAACATACAGTAAAGGTAGTGAAGCGAACATCCCATAGGCTCTCTGCCAGCAGACACAGAGAGATGCTCAGGCCACTTAATACACTCACATCGCATCTATCATTTCCAAATCCGTTGCACCTGTCAACTAATTGCGCATGTGGAGAGCTCTCACCAGCCTTTAGCTTTAGCATGACAATACAAACGAAATGCAAAGAGGAAAACCAGCGTTTTGATTTGATTAAACGTCGGCTAGACTTGTTATGTGGAAAAGCTCGCTTACCTGTCATAACTCCACCTGCTGTAAGACATACTCCTGTTGCTGCTCACTCCCTCCATGTCTCCGGCGAACTGTTGGGACTGGACTGGATGTTGAGACGGCTAAATGAAAGCGTAAACACTCCTCTCTCCGTCCTCACCAAACCAAAGCAAACACCAAACTAAAGGAATCGCCGTGAAGTGAATGAGCCACAGAGGCTGTGCAGAGCCAGACGCGTCCTCTGGGCTGTACCACCACACAGAGAGGGGGGCTGAGCCTGTTTCATTCACGCCACAAGACTGATTCATTTTCTCTGGCAAACCTCCATGCTGACTGTGGCAATAGCATGGGGGAGTTCAGTCTAATGAAACAGGCCCTATAAATGTTTGGAACAGTGATTTGTTTATTTTGATTATTGGCAGCTCATGACTCAATAGCAAACTCACCTTCTCATCCATTTGCTGGTCGGACTCGGTACAAAAAGGCTGAGACTACACAAGCTGCGTTACAGCCCAAAAACAGTTCTGTTTCTTTAATTTGTACTGATGAACAAACATTTTTGTCATCTTTCTTTATTATCTTTTCACCCACAAGAGCCAACTCACTAAAACAGTTAACACGTAGTTTTGAATTAAGGTCATCTTAAATTCAGATTCTCTCTTTACTTGCAAGGAGCATGTGTGGAATTCTAAAAGCATTCTCTTTCATAACAAATCACAAAATGATTCAAAGCATAACTCAGCTGTGGAGAGGAATGGGAACATCCTCTACAGAGAGAGAAAATGACACATTGTGAGAAATAACGGCAACATTACTGAGAGTGATGTTGCCTTGTGTGATGGCCATCAGAGTGAGTTTTTAATATAGCTGGTTTGATTAGAAAGACAATTATGTGAATCCTATAGTACAGACATATAGGTCAAATCTCAACCGAAACGAACCCCTATGGGTAATGTACTGATGTGTTGAACAGCACTTTCCACCATCAAAACACCCAATGAAGGTTGGCCCTGTATATTTAGATGAATTGTGATGATGGCCCATCACCTTGCTAAAACTCTTAATTTTAAATGTTCCTCTGCCGTATTTGTTACTCATATATGTCTTATGTGTTCTTTTAACCCTAGTGGTTTTAGTATTTAATACAATTTCCTGACTCGAACATCCCCCTTGTGGTCAGATATGTGTATGCCTTTCTTTGCCAGTAATAGTGTATGTTTTCAGTATCTTAGTCTGCTCTAAAAGGCTCTTATTTTGCAGAGGCTGGAATATTGTATGAAGTTTAAGCGTCTGACATATGTGTTTGAAAATAACTAGTAGCAGTAAAAGTGCTTGTAGTGCCCCCTGAAAACAATATTACTTCTAATAGACGAAGATGAAATCCCTATCATTACTGTTTTCTGAGCATTTAGTGGTAATAATTATCCTATAACACCAGTTAGAGTCATGTTGTGAATAGTATTGATCTTACTTTTGCAAGCCTCAATGTGTAAGAGTCAAGTCTGTGCAGCCTTTATAAATCTAAAAGAAAGATTCTCTACCCCATCTGGCTCAATGACAGATTTTATTTTAGCACCAAAAGCTAGACACAGGGCAAAAGACACTGATATGGAAGAAAAAGAAAAAAAACACAGTATGATCTGAATGTACACTAGGATTTGCAATAAGGTGTGGAGTAGTTATTATAATAATTGAGTCATGTGGTTTTAAACTCCAATGTAAAGACCAGAATCCTTTCTTAGACCCTCTCCCACCTAACCCGGCATTTTAAACTCGGCGCTGGTGGTGAACACCTCAAAGATAAATATATTCTCCATTACTAAGCCACAATAAGAAATTACATTCAAGGTCACATCTGGTTGAACAATCTAATTTAGCAAATTTGGGCCAATAGTCATCTCCAGTTTAAGATCAAGAGAATTCAACATTTCTCCTTAAATATATCCACAGCTATGCTGTGGATGTGTTGTCACTTATAAACATGTAAAAATACTTGTCAACTAGTTTGATAAGAAAATAATGTATAAAAGTAGAGTAGAAACATTTAATCAAGTCTATTACTTCCATCATCTGATTTTCTTGTTTTATATAATACAAGAGGATGATATGGAAAACAATCTGCAGTACTTCATTCATAGGCCCAAACAGAAGTACAGGAGTGGAAAGGGAAGGCGAAACAGTACTTTGTGTCTGTGCTGAGGATTTCTCAACAAGTGGCAGGTCCGGGGAGCTCATGAGCCTTTGGAGAACGGCTGCGCATCTCAACGCTTCCACTTGTTTTCGGACTGACAGATCATTGGGGAAAAAATGTATGCAACAGAATAATTCAAAAACACCAAACAGAAACGTTGCCACTGTGTTATTGGAATGATATGACAGTTATTTGATCCGTTTGTTGACTAAATGTTTGACAGAAAAGATGCATTACACTGGAATGATCTGAACTGAACTGAGCTCTGAAAGCTCCTTGATTTGCAACAAATGGATTTGATAACATGACTTGTCAAAAGTTGAATATGTAGCATTCAGTGTTTTGAATCATGTTAGTTGTCAAAGTTACACAATATGCTACCATTACATTTATCTACTGCTTCTTGGAAATCTTAAACCATGCCAATGTTGACTGAACCGCCACCTTTGAGGATAGAAATTCAGACAAATGTGCTACTTTCAGTTCATTGATGAAATAGCATAGGATAAGAATGCTTCAATCTATAAGACTTAAAAAAATTCAAATACAGTAGACACAGTATTTGGCAATTGAGATGAAAGCAGAAACCACAGACAAAGAAGAAGAATCCACTGCAGAATGCCATAAACTTCTATCATTGTAGCTTTAAGGGCTGTCTAGGCTTTATATTTATATACATACTTATATATTCACTTTCATATATGTAAAACCAAACTCAACCTCACACACTGTACTGTGGTGATTTAATAGATCATTAGAAGTACACTTTGAAAATCACAACACATGTCACATATGTACAGTAGCAGATTAGCACATGGGAGTAAAGGTGGATATGGCACAACGTACACAAAGCTTCAGAAGATAATCTCTCTGCTCTGGTCAGACACTGGAAACTAAAGAAACTCATCAACATTCTGGATATATAGTTTTCATTCAATCTCGGTAGCAAGTACAAAGTCACTACAAGGCAAGAGAAGTCCTTCAGAGTACAAAACATTAATTTGTCAGGCTGATTCAGAAGGCAATGTTTAGTGTTGGGACTCTCTCGTTTGAATTAGATTACGGCTGAAGGTAGAGTGGTGTTAAAATTTGGCATTGTCAGTTGTCCATAATGATGTCCTGGGGACAGCATTTCCTCGTCAAAGTATCTCAGAAAAGGCTGTCTGAAGTCATGCACGTGGAAAAGGCAGCGGTCAGTCATCCACTTAGGATGTGATGTCAGGCAGAGTGGGTGGGGGGGGGGAACAGAGCAGCTGCATGAGTTACAGTGATAAGGCTGACTCAGACGATCACACAATGGCAGCCGCTCTTGTCTTTCTCTTTTCTTGTAGGCTCTGGCGACGGTGGACATTCCTGTTCTTGGAATTTCCTGGGAGTTAGGAGAAAAACTGTCATGACTCACTGGACTGGTACTTTTGCAATCTGTCTTGTTCTTTTGTTTGCAACAAATATTACCTCCACCCTTAATTCAGTAAAACGGTCTTTGGTTATTTGTCTGACATTTCTGTCTGTGCTGTTTAATCTGAGCTTTTTCTAACTGGATAACGTTTTCAAGGTTGTAAACGGTGATGTCACTTTCATCAGGATTCAGCAGTGTGTGAAAGGGACTTGGTTGTGGGGTTTTGCTCATGTTGGTGGCGACTACCAATCAAATCTGGTCAATCCACACACAGCCTTGGTGAGGCAGATAAGCTGAGTTTTGGTAAACTCTTAATAAATTAAACCTAAATATGTTTATTTTGATTATTTCATTTAGTCATTTGTATAATTCGTTTTTAATTCATCAATCATTTTCAGGGTGATTCTATGTCTTTATTGACTAGCTGACTAAAATGGAAGAGGAGGGAGAAATGCAACAAAGGCCCCTAGCCGGGTTTGAACCAGGAATTATTCATGGTCATTGACTAAATCCCGAGGACATCAAAGCGGCACGAGGGCACACTTGAGTCATTATTATTTAATGTTACATTAACAAAACCTTCACCGAGTTCTGCATTATTAACAACTATTATAGGAGTGCCAAAATGTGCATTTCTTAATCCACTGTCATACATCTGAAAACCATATATACTTATAAAAGTTGCCTTCATAAATCACATACCTGATAACTCTAACCAGCTCGTGGAAAGCCTGGTCTACGTTCATACGGATTTTGGCTGAAGCCTCCATATATGTGACCTTCAGTTGTCTGGCCAGCTGCTGACCCTCTTCCTGGGTTACCTGAGGGAAAAAGAAGAACAGAATAAGAATAAGGTTATATAAAGTTTTACATGTGGATGCATACATTCATTTAATGCACATGCGGCCAACATTACAATACAGCCAAATGACCCACCCAAGCACACCCAGAAGTTGGGGTCACCACCAATATGGATCAGACTGAAGGAATGTGTCAGCAAAGAGAATAAATAGTCAGCCGCACTATTACAGAAACATACATTTTGTTTGTCTGAGGTTCGTCCCTGTGCACTGAGCTGACCATAGTCCTGCTATAGTATAAAGGCCATGTGCACTCTTTCAACCAAACAGCAAATAAAAATGTCAATCTGGATGAAATAAAAAGAGGCCGAATGCAACCGCAAACCCAGGACGGCATTCCAGCCAATAAGGAGGGGCTGAAGCTTGAATCTAAATTGAGATTTAGTCAATGAAAACCCATGTTTGACAATAATTATCTTCTGACAGGTCATTTAATTTCTGGCAATACATGTAATTTTATTGTATGTGAAAATGTGAGCTTGTTAGATAGCATGCACCATTTGAAAAAATACCCAAACCTGCCTGCCTGAACTGCATACGGACAAAAATGTTATGGTTGTGTGCATATCCAATTAAAAAAATTGATATCACAAAAGATTCGAGCTCCTGAAACTATGGATCCTATGGGAATTCAATCTCAGCCAATTCAAGGGTTGATGCTCAATTCATTTGAAAGACTACAGATCTACAGTTAAAACATTACGAAGCATGACCTTAGGACCCCTTGTGTTCTTGTCTTCTATTTATGATGACGTCTAAATAAGATTACCTTAGGATTTAACATTGCTTGTTGTTCTAGTAGGAACAAAGATTTAAAGACCACAATCAAACAAATCATTTGTGTAGGGCACTAGGCTGAAGCGTCTGCTCTAATACTGCTGTAGTACGAAGTGAGTGCTACATACCATACGTGAATATGACAGAGTATGTAGAATTCACTTTGTACTGCATACCACACATGTTTGGACATTCACATCCAAGTGAAAGTGACCCTCAACACTGAAGGAAGAACTCTCTTATTTTTCAATTTAGCTTCTTTTCTTAGCTTCATATATTTAAACATGAAATATCCATAACACCTGTACTACTTTCACTTTAATTCCTGACCTGACCATGCTTTCTCCTGAGCATTCAATGAATCATCCAACATTTGTTTTCAAAAACAAAAACCTGTTAATTACAAAGGTTACTGGGGGACAATATTGTCCATTAACACCATTTCTGAAGCATTTTTGTGTACATGTCCCGCTTAATTGTATTTCACTTGTCATTTCTCAAGTGTACACATTTAAATGAGTATGTATTCATCTGGGACGTCCATTTTTTTAAACAGCTGTGCATACTATCTAGAGCTGAATTAAGCAAAAAGGTAATTCGATTCAAAGCTTATATACTCCCTGACAGCAACAGATCAAGTTTGAGTCTACAGATTGTTCTGCAATGTTTGGTGGAAATATTGAATATAATAAGGGAATATGAACTTATTTGTTTGTTAAATAGCATGAAATAATAAATGAAATTCTCATGAGGCTAAACTATTCTCATGAGCCACATAATACAATTACTTTCACTTAAGTGTCATTATGCATTCCTTGTATGCTTCAATGACAGATCATCAGGTTTATTAGGTCATGAGTTATGTGGTCACAAGTTGTCATCTTAATCAGTAATGTTATGAAATATAATATAGTTAGTCTCTACATGTCTCATATAGTCATGCATGTAATATTAATTAATACAAAACAGGCTAATTTCCCATGAGGCTTGACATGCTAAATGCTGATTTCAGTAAACCCATTGACGGTAAAAAGATGTGTGCCAGTGATGCTCCTTCTCACCATGAGGGGGTGCTGTGGATTCACTGCATGAATTGACAAGCAACTGCAGGCAGAAAATTCATCATTTCATCACACTCCCTTTTTTCTCCACACAGCCTCCCCTCCTGACACCACCACTTCTACAGCATCTCTTTTATCCTTTTACTCACATCCTGTTCTATCTTGGCAGCTAGCTGCAGCTGCAACGCTTTGCTGCCACTTTCAAATATGCAAATGTTGGTCTTCCAGCCTGGTTGATTCCATCTCTTCAGATGATCAAACACGATGTATGTTTGTTAGTCAGTGGATTCAGATCTCTGCAATCTGCTGGACTTACTTGTCTCTGTTGTTCCAGGTCTGCTTTGTTTCCTACGAGGATCATAGGGAATTCATCTCTGTCTTTCACTCGGAGAATTTGTCTTTGGAATTTGTAGATTTCTTCAAAGCTATAAAACATAAAACAGGGTGTTATGTAGTGTTGCTATTCCAGGTTATATAAAGTTTTACATGTGGATGCATACATTCATTTAATGCACATGCGGCCAACATTGCAATACAGCCAAATGACCCACCCAAGCACACCCAGAAGTTGGGGTCACCACCAATATGGATCAGACTGAAGGAATGTGTCAGCAAAGAGAATAAATAGTCAGCCGCACTATTACAGAAACATACATTTTGTTTGTCTGAGGTTCGTCCCTGTGCACTGAGCTGACCATAGTCCTGCTATAGTATAAAGGCCATGTGCACTCTTTCAACCAAACAGCAAATAAAAATGTCAATCTGGATGAAATAAAAAGAGGCCGAATGCAACCGCAAACCCAGGACGGCATTCCAGCCACGGGCCCGCAGACAGCCTGGTGAGCATATAGTAAATCTGGAAAGACTTGACTAATATAAATGGAGGAAGGAAAGACTGTTTACTACATAAACATTGGGAAGGGGCTGTGGGGGAGAGGGGAAAGCAGCTCATGGCACTGCGGGCCAGGGGTACAGACACAGAGACGAGGGGATGTGACAGACTACAGGAGGAATATTATTCAGTGATATTTGAAACTATTTTTCTAAATCACAAATTGTTTTATTCTTTTATTATCTAGTTTTTAAGATTTTCATGAAATCAAACCATATTATTTTATACTGTTAAGGTAAAAAAATGTTTTCGTAACTTTAGCAGTTATTGAATGCATGTTATACAGCACAATTTGTATGTACATTTTGGAGTGATGACAGCCTCACTATTTACTCTTTGCTACCTTAACTTCTTTAAAACCACCTTAGTTAGCTTGGTTGTGCAGTTAATAGGTACTCTGGGTGCTTATCTGCTGTATGTCTGACAAAGTAACTTCTCGAGGATTGTTAGCTGTAGCATTTAAAGCGCACCTGCCATACAATAGTTAGCACAGGTGTCACTTTATCAATAAGGAATGAAAACATAAGGATAACCATTTATTAACCTTAAGATTTTACCTTTAAAATATTTAATGCCACACTGTTTGACAGAATCATATCCTGTATATTCTGTATTGGCCTGTTCCACTTCTTTATGTAAGCTATTGAACGTTTACATCAAGTCAAATCTTTAAAAGCAAGACTGTTTAATACACTGCGATTGCTCTATTAGATATTCTAGATATCTTGTGCATCTTTTATATAAATATTTCCCCCAAATTCAGCTTGACATCTTTGGTGTTATAAGGATATTTCAGGTCTTCACTGGACTTTAAAATAAAGTTTTAACCTTTTTTAATAACAATGTTAAAAGCTTGTGCTTTTACTTACTGAAACGATAATGTCCATGTGATAGTGTTTAAAAGTTATGAAATGTTTAAGTGTCATATTTACCTAAAGATGTCTCTATTCTAGCCCACATACTAATGTTTAAATAGCATTTGGGCTTTAAACAAGAAGCCAAGGTACACGAATAAGTGAATTCAAGAGAACAGGATGAGGGAGGAATGTTACGAACAAACGAAAATGACAACAAGAACAACGGCACGGAGGTCCGGAAGTACAAGCGGCAACAAGTGAGAGTATCGGTGCTAGATTTATGGTTTTAGTAGAGTGAGAGGCCGAGAAGGAGAGAAAAAGAGGGTGTAATTGTGAAACAGTAAACAGAGATGTGCAAACAGAAAGAGAGAGAAAAAGACTGAGTAGTGGGCTTTGTAGCTGTGAGTTAGCACATGACGAGAACTGTCACTCACCTTCCTCTGTCAGTGACTGAGAAGACGAGCAGGAAGCCCTCCCCTGTCCTCATGTATTGTTCTCTCATGGCTCCAAACTCTTCCTGTCCAGCCGTGTCCAGGACTAGAGAGAGCACACACAGACGCAAATCACTCATAACGTGCATTAACAGAGACTTTCGCAATGAATTCCGTAATAAGAAAACAATGCAATAGAAAAATACAAATACCAAACGTGTGTAGTTTCTGTATGTGTATTAACTGTGTACATGTTTGTTCAGTAACTTACTGTCAAGCCTGGCCGCTCTTTCGTCAATCACACACTGCTTGGTATAGGAGTCTTCAATCGTGGGGTCATAGTCAGTGACAAAGTACGACTGCAGGTGAGAAAGAAGAGAACAGAAGACAAGAAACTGTGAATATATGTGGGGTCTATACAGTTTGTCAGGTAGAGACACACGCTTTGTCCCAGTTCACTGTATATGGCGGTGATATAGATATAAATGTACAGTAAGTATACAAAAACATGCGTTATCTTTTCAATTCTAACAGGAAATTAAGCAATAATGTGCCTTTCACAAGCTGCAACTTTAGAGCAACACTGCAAATCAAGAAATTGTATAACTACTAGCTACAATTAATTTTGTACAGCTGTTTGTGCATTGCATGGTAGGAGAATAGTGTCCACTGCTTACTTTTAAGAGTACACTTTATTTTTTCCCTAGCGTCAACACCTCCTGTTCTATTTCTATGGCTAACACATTACTGAAATCCTGCTTAGAATGAGTATGTACCAAGGGTTTAGGACACACAGTGAGTAGAATCAGCTGGCTTAACAATGAATGGATATGTGAACAAACAGCCACTCTGTCCTTGTGTTTTTGGTTACAACAGCAGAGGCAGCCATAATGACCTCTACCTTTACAACCAGCCTGCAGACAGGAGGTAAACACACTGTCTGCAGACAGAAGAAAAGACATGTAAAGAGTCCCTCATAGAACAACCACTGCTTATGTAGAGACATCGGGCTGTTATTCTAGCTAATAACACATTTACAAGACGTTCCTTCAGTTGCAACAGTGGCATCGCTCACTCCTTACGACTTTATTTATTTTATTCTGGGGTTACTATCTGGTCTCCTAGTAACCTCGACTGGAAGGGTGGGGCCAGGGGGCAGGGAGTCGGCAGGAGGAGGAGTCATGCATTTTTTACATTTTTCCCATGTTTTGTAGTTCTTCCTCTCCTCGGGGACTTGTTAAGTGGTGACAGCTGAGGGGAGTGCTCAGGGAATGTCAAACCAACACCCTAAAACACGGAGCGACCTCGAGAACTGAAAATACAGACAAGGTTCCCTGTTGTTCTAAAAACAAGCCAAATTCATTTTTTACATTATGTTTGTGTATGGAACTGTGTCATTTCACACTGGTTGTATACTGCCTATTTGCTCGTATTGGGCAGCCGGGGACACAAAAGAGAGGGATTGGTTTGAGTGTACTACATGTCATAGTCATCTCTCTCAGGAAAATATTACTCCTTAATTATGAATAGAGCCCATCTGACACATCTGCATAACCAATGTTATTAACCAATTTTATCCTAGACATCAGGATAGACCTTTTTTTTTGTTTTTAAAGAGATTTCTACGTGGCAGTTTTGCGTATATTTAAGTAAGGGATAATGTGCAGCGAGGCGGTCATTATGGGGAAAAGAACACCCGACAGGCAGATCAGGATCCCGACGCGAAGCGTTCCTGACGCGTCGGGATCCGGATCTGCCTGTCGGGTGTTCTTTTCCCCATAATGACCGCCTCGCTGCACATTATCCCTTACTTATTACATAGCTTAGTTGAATACTCGATTCTGATTGGTCAATTCAGAACACGTGACACGTTGTTAATCCAGTAGTACAGACCGCTGTCAAGGACTTATTGACCGTTGTTAAGGATGCTCACATCTGCACAAAGAAGTCCGTTAGATTTAACTGTATACAGTTTGCTTTTCAAACTGGGACCATAAAAACAGCGGAGAAGTAACGGGGCAGAAACGCTCCTTTTTACGCAACAGTCCAGACATAGACATCAAACAGCAAAACATATTCAGTTGCCAGTTACTTTGGCATTAGGGCAGGGATATCTAGATACTTTCCAAGGTTTGACATAATGAATTGTGCTACTTTTAAAGCAAGCAACGATGTTTTCAAATCTGTAATCAAAAAGCCCCTCAAAAACGCTATCGAAGCAGTTCCTGCCGTTGCTAAGGAGGATCAAGAAAGAGAAAGTAAAAGAGGTTAAAAGACGGAGCGCTGGACGTCAGATAAATCACCAGAAGAAGGCAGAGAGGAAGTAAACACTAACAGGAACACGGTATGGGCTCTGCAGTGTTTAGGGACTTGTTAGTGGATCAGAAACTGTGAACAGAGTTGGACAGTGATGAGTGCTGCCATAAAGTTGTTGTCGCAGTTCCAACCGTTGGTGCGCCGTGGAACGGAGTTTTTTTTTCTTAGCGGAAGAAATACGATCATTTTTAAGTCAATAAAATAATTTCAATTAATATTGGGAGTCGAGTCGTTAGTTTGTTTAGTATATGGCCGTGTAATAAGCGGGATAATTCAGGCTCATCAAGATCCCTCCGCTTCGCGTCGGGCTCTCTGATCAGCCTGTCGGGTGTTCTTTTCCCCATAATGACCGCCTCGCTGCACATTATCCCTTACATAAATGGTGAGAGAGAGAGAGAGAGAGAGAGAGAGAGAGAGAGAGAGAGAGAGAGAGAGAGAGAGAGAGAGAGAGAGAGAGAGAGAGAGAGAGAGAGAGAGAGAGAGAGAGAGAGAGAGAGAGAGAGAGAGAGAGAGAGAGATGTGAAACCAAAAATCTCAAGGCCAGCCAGATATGCCTTAGTAGGTCATTTATAAACTGTGTTGCCATTTCATTCATATGTTAATATTTGTTCCTTTCTTTTATTTGAGACGTTTAGTGGGGAAATACTAAATTATTTCCCCACAGCCAAAGGTGAAATATTCAAATTGTTTGCCAACAGTCCAAAATCTAAAACCATTAACGATCATAAATGGCAAAAACATAAAATCCAACGATAAATTGTCATTATATTTTTTCAAACTCTAAAAAAATGTAACTCTAAGAAGAAATCAATATCCTTTATGAGCTCAAGCTCTAGTTTGATGTGAACATTTGTAATTCAATCATATTGTGTCTTTCTTCTCACCTGCAGTTTTCTTTTGTTGCAAGGGATGCAGATAATCTCTCCCTTTCACTCTCCTGTCGCTCTGCAGCATGCAAGTATACTGGCCTGTCACACCAACTCACCACTGTTCAATAATTCATCAGTATTACTGTGTGTCCTCCTGGAACATGCCTCACTGCACTGCACTGCCTTCAGACGACCAGACAGAAAGACAGAAAGAAAAGGAAGAAAATCTGTCTATATTTTCACCACTCTCCCAGCCGTTGCTTCGGCACGTGACCACGGCTTCCCGTCAACCTCTTATTCCTATTCTGTCAACCTCGGGCAGCCGCAGTGAGCTCTGCACTCCTCTCGCTACGTCTCCCCTCCCTCCACGTGCTTGGGTAGTGTAGCTGCCTCGCGCACTGTTCTGGCTGAGCTGATACCCTCAGAGCCGTTCCCCGTGATAGATGAGGCTGTTTTGCAGTGCCAGCAGCACTGGAGCCAGCACTAACAGGAGCCGGGCAGGGGGCTCGGAGAGGGAGTGCAACATGACTCAGGAGGCCTACCAATAACTATGTGACATAACCAGCCTGAGTCATGTCCAGTAATATGACCTATAAATCTGATATAAGCCGATGACTTCATCCGATTTAACAGGCTCCTCTAACAGAATGAATCAGTCTGTATGAGACGAGTAGAGCTGCCCAAAGGTTTTTGGGGAACAAAAGCACCCACAAGTCAATACTACGTCCACCACTAACAATTAGGGCAATGGCTTAAACCTCAGTGCTTTTTGACCATTGCCCAAGAAGCCGAAACTGTCCCGTAGGTTAAGTCTTTTGTGAGGTATTTTCTTTATTTTTTAACACATTCTTTTAAAGTTCTTGTACAGTTGCTTCTGTTAAGACAACATTTAGTGCCGATGTTACTTTAAACATTTTTAAATAAGCTCCACACATATGGGTTTCAGTCTGCAACTAATGATTCTTTCATTATCAATGTATCCTTTTTTCTCTTGGGTGTTTTTACAATCTTAATTGTTTGATCTATAAAAAAAAAAATCCAAAAACATGAAAAAATAACCATTCTTCAACTGGACTGTTTTGTTTGACACAAAGTTTGAAACCAAAGGATGAATTAAATAAACAAGGGAAAAAACGTTTGTGAAGGTAAAGCGGCAAAGGTTTAATATTTTAGCTAGGAAAAATGTGTGAAACAATTAAAAAGATAACTTTTGTCAATTGACTAAAAACATGTTGTTTTTAAATATTTTAGTACTGATGACAGTGACAGTGACACACACACACACACACACACACACACACACACACACACACACACACACACACACACACACACACACACACACACACACACACACACACACACACACACACACACACACACACACACACACACACACACACACACACACCACACACACACACACACACACACACACACACACACACACACACACACACACACACACACACACACACACACACACACACACACACACACACACATCACACACACACACACACACACACACACACACACACACACACACACACACACACACACACACACACACACACACACACACACACACACACACACACACACACACACACACACACACACACACACACCCCACACACACACACACACACACACACACACACACACACACACACACACACACACACACACACACACACACACACACACACACACACCAAAGCCTGCAGAACCAAGCTGCAGAACAGTTTAGATGTTGGTGGCCCCGGTCCCCTCACCAGGAAGGAAACTCCACCTCTACAGCAGGCAGCTGGCCCGGCCGAACCTTCGGGTGATGGTGATGTCACAGACAACATGTTCCCCACCCTGCCCGCCTACCAAAGTCCAAACCTGTCACTCAGTACCCCCCCCCCCCCAGCATTCCATACATCCCAGCCCTCCACCCACACACAGCACATGCACGCTCACACCAGGAAAACATTAGAGGTCTGTTTCCAGCGCGATGTCGGGGGATGAGTCTCGAGCCTTTTTGTTGCAGTCTGTTCTTTATGTGGATGCTTTGCGAAACATAGACAGACTGAAATGTCAACAAAATGACAGAAAAACACACTAGGGCTGCTAGTAAAGATGATCTGTTTGATAACTGTCTTGATTAATATGTTATATTAATTAGT